CTCGCCCTCGGCACGTGCCATAAGGGGCCTCCTGCCTCCGGTACGACGAAGGCAGCTTTGAAACCCGGGCCGCGGGTAGCACCACAGACACAATCCCAGTGAGCGAGGGGCGACGGACCCCTCAAGTTAGGGTCCAGGAAGCTCCCTGGGGAGAGCCCCGCTGACCACGGGACGCTACATATCACCGACAGGGACCACCACGACACGGCCAGCCAGGCAGACGGTCTTCAAAAGCGTTTCCTACCGCAGCAGCTTTCTAATAAAGAAATACTGGTAGTGAGCACCCCGTTCTGTCAAGCAGGACGCCACCCCCTGAGGCTGCCTGTGAGGGAGAAGTTTCTTCTCTTCTCTACTGTCATATCATTAACAAAATACTAGGAAAGTACCCTTCTTAGAGAATGCAGGTAACCAACACAACACACTAAAGACTCGAGGGTTCTTCTCCTCAGCTTTAGAGTAGTTGCTTAGTTAACCGCACAGGACCTGAAACTTCCATACAACGTTTTAATACCAAATAAACTGTTTTCTGCTGCTAGACCTGGTTAAAAGACCCATAAGGCAGATTTACATTTATTAATAAAACTTGATCCCATAAACCTTTAGGAACACCTTCAAAAGCATGAATAGCATTGCAATTCCACTTCTACTTTGTCTCCCTCTTTTCTACCCTGACTCTTCACACATGTCTGTTCCCCTATTTTAGCACGCGGCAAGGAGAGGCCTGGTGACTTGCCTCACAATTCTGCAGTTGGTGCTTTGTCAGGTTAGGCCACCGAAAAGGAAAGCTCAACATGAACAAGAACGGTGGTCATGAACAAGACGGGGGTATTCTGAGGGACTTGAGCGTTAGGCTTGCTGTGACACTTGCTTTGTTCGGTAACGACCAAACCCAACTCTTTCCAAATTGAACTGCTGGACCAATCAGTCTGTTCAGTATCATGCTTACCGCATTAACAGATTGATGTAAGATACTACCCAAAATGTCTTTAACATACAGCCGAGGTAAAATCAGCTTGTATGTGTTACCTGAGCGATCAGTAATGTAGAACATAAGATAGTTTATACTTTGGTTGGCATCATAGCTTTCATGTATGTCACAGCAAATTTTTTTTTCTTACAAGCGTGTACTTCAAACATTTGCTCTCAGTAGCAGCAACTGAGAGCATTATACCTGTGCCCTTGCAAGATACGGAAGGTGAAATATTACAACGTTATTCACAAACCTTGGCCTCCGTTCTGGACTGTATTTCGGCACACACCTAAACGCTTTCCAAACTGAACCCTTAGTCTGGAAGACAAACATTCTTCAAACCTTGCTGGGTAACGTCAATGCTGGGCACCCAAATCATGCTCTGTAGGGTTTAAGTGCAAGCACTATGCAAATAAAGATAAGCAACAGGACAAGCTTATTTTAGGCCAGTGTTCCAAACTTAACACCTGGCCTAGGAAGGAAACGCCCTTTCTTTTTTCTGCGGGTTTAACGTAGATTTTTTCATAACTCCCACGAGAATATTAACAACCATTTGATTGAGACAAAGCTGGTAGCATAGCCTTTATCCTAATTTGTTCTTCTTTTTTCTCAGCTGTAACTGAAGTTACTTGAACTCAAGGCAGACACGGTATTTTGGCTGTCGCAACAAATTGTATTACAGAAAACTACATTCTGCAACGTAAGGACATTAAAAAGTAAGCCTTTTTGTCCCTTCCCCTCTGCAACGTTTCTCAAAGGAACATAAACTAAAATAAAACAAGCAAAATTTCCTATCATATACTTGCCTCAAGTTAAAAAAAAGTTAGCAAAAAGAGAAATAACACCTGATTTTTCTAACTATTTTTAGGTTTTCAGAATGGAATCATTAGCCAAAAATGTTGCTTAAGCAAGCAAAATCACTGTTTTAAATACCTGACTGCTTATGTAAGTAACAGAACCTTAAAGCCACTTCTCAAACATCCTGTCGCAGTTTGCTTACAACCAGTTCACACAGCACGCTCTAACTCCAGTCTTGGATATTGACAAGTCATAGTTGTGGAATTCAGCCCAAGTGTAATCATTCAGGGAAGAGTTTAAAGCAAAGTGTGCTAATTAATGTGGTCATTATAAGGCTCTCGGGGAAATTATCAAAACTTGCTACATTCAAAAATTTTCTTAAGTATCTGGGGCCAGATTCGCTGCTACCAGTGGCAAGAACTGCCCTCAGGTTAGGCTGGTGCTTTCGTTTCTTATTTCCCAGGACAGGTGAAGGCCAGAAGAAAATCAGTCACATCACTTTTTGCTAGAAAAGAACAGCATTGAGGTAATGAAAAAGAAGATAAAATATTCAAAAATAATCTGCAAATAAAGAAATACTCTGTCTGATTGCTCAGCACTGAAAAATGAGCTTGTTAATCAGTATTCAAAGGGTTCTATTACAGGGACTGAAAACAAAAGCAACACTGCTAGAGCTGATCAACCACAAGCTCCCAGGATTTTGAGTCCAGTTCCGTAAGGTGTTCCCCACGTACCCCAATGAGGGTATTGTGCGCTTCACAGAAGAATGCCCATACATGCTCACAGCTGTACTGAAGCAGCATTCTTACTATCAGCTGGCTAAACGTGTCACTTCAATCCAAAGGGTACTATTAAGACAATTACAATGGAAGCTTTTCTCTCTCATTACCTAATTCTGCCATGGACACAGTTGGAGAGGTCTCCCCATTTGTAAAAGAACAATAAGGGAAGAAGCCCGATGCTGGTGTGTAGTCACATATTGGTTCTGGTTTGATTCCATTAATATCAAGACCCGACTGATCTGGAGAAGGCTGTATGTCTAAGTAGAAGCTGCTAACTGCAGAGTCTGCTTTGCTACCTTCAGGGGTATGCCCATCAATGTAATTACTGAGGTCATCATGTAGCTCTGTTAATCCATTGGTGGTGATATTGTATGTTGGTGTTAGTGGTTCTGCCTCTCCTGGTTGCTGCTGATGATCTCGCTGCTGCTGCTGCATTCGATGTTTCTGCACCTCCGCATACAGGCTGTCCCTCTGCTTTTTTGACATTCGACCAAACTTTACAGCTGAAATACAGACACACAATGTATTACATCTCCACAAATCCACTACTGCATGTTAATTGTCTTGGGTGTTTAAATGCTATGGGGAAGGACACGGTATAAAAGGCAAATCGGCAGGATGGGCAGACCTAGCAATCACTTCTGTCAGTTACAGGTAACATAGCTGCAGCATCTACTCTTTAAAAGACCTTCTAAACATGCCACTTCAATGGACCATTAGAAGTCACTGTTTCAGCTTAATTAACTAACTTTCCACTTCTATACCGAAAAGACTTTTTCTTCCATGTCCACCGAAGTTGACAGGTGCAGCTCTTCAGCATTCAAATCCTACCTGGAAAAGCAGAAGCTGAAACAGAATATGCTGGCCTGACATAAACTGTTGAGTTCCTAGTAGCAGTATATTCCTACTACAAAGTGAACCTAGAGTTCGATACAAACACGTGGGGTCTAGCTCAAAGAGATTGAAAAGCAAGCTTTACTCAAGCTTTACAAGCTCTTGGGACCAAAGCACTTGCTCTCAGTGCTGCTTACTGTGACAAACAAAAATGTTCACCTGGTGAATTATTGTTAAACCTGCATATGTTTGCCTGCGCGTGCACATGTGTGCATCTCTCTCCACAAAGGTATTACTACTTTTGAGAAGTATTAATATTAAGCGTAAGCCAGAAGCAACTGGTTTGCAACATCCAGGCAATTCCTAAGAACACCGTATGTGATTTCTGGGACCTGTCTCAGCTGTAAAAGCCTCATCAGTTAGGAAGACGACTGCCACCTTGTACTCTTCTACAGGAAAGCAAACATTGGAGGGACTAGTCATTACACGAGCAACCATTTCATGCCCAATACAAAAATTAAGACAACGTAATTCAAGAAGCAAATGTAATCTGAAAACAATCTCCTTAATTGGGCCTCATGTACATAGCGTAACGCGTATGTATGTGTAGAACACTTAGCGTTGCTGTCACTGTGGCAGGGGAAAAGACTGAGTCACACCTTCAAATTGGGTAAGCGACAGCAGCTTCATTGCATCGATGGGGGAAGGTGTGCAGGTATCAGCTGCAAATCCAGTTCTGAGTTACATAACCTTCCATTTTACAGAGGTGGGTTTCTGTCATGCCACTAAGTGTAATTCTGAGCTCAATACTAACAGCGCTGGAACATGTTTTCTTCAGAATGCTACCGTTGAAAAAACACTGTGCTATTTTCTCTTTGCATTTTTTTCCATTATTCATTACACACACATTTAAACTTCTTTATATATTGTGAAAGAGTTCAGAACTGTACCAATAGGGCAACTGGAGCTTTACTTGCAAGTATAGTATGTCACTTCAATTGGAATGAACACACAGAGAAAGTATTAACTTTTAGTTAGACTAAAAACTGCATCTCAAGAAGGAACCAGAGGCAAAGCTCTTAACTGGGAACTATAATAGGCGAGTAAGGGGGAAAAAAAAAAAAAAAATCCATGAACTTCATACCTGCCCTGATTTATAGATATTTATGTGACTATATAGCAACATCTAAAACAAACTCAACTACCTCAGCTATCAGCCTGATGCACAATTAAAGTTCTACGTTGTTTTAGCTGAACACACAGTATACTAAACATTATTTTACTTTCTGCAATTAAGCTATGCGTTAGCAGAGCTTACCATCTCGAGACATCCCCACAGCAAGGCATTTCTGTAATCGACAGTGTTGGCAGCGGTTTCTACTAGTTCGGTCAATCAAACAGTTCTTCTGACGAGGACAGGAGTAGGTAGCATTGCTTTGCTGACTCCTTCTGAAAAAGCCCTGTAATAGAATTGCAAAACACAAGTCAAGAAGCTGTTAACTGATAGAGCAAGTACAGACTCTGAAGGGTAGCATACTGAAAAGAAAATGAAGTTCAAGTGCACTATAGTCAACTAAAGGAAGTTAAGAGAGTGGATTTTTTCCCCCTCTCTGAGGATCAAACAAAACCCTGTAGCTAGTAGAAAACAGTTCATAACGAAGTGTTATGACAGATAAAGGAATCACATTTTTTCACTGATTTTACAGATCCCGTATTACATACGGTACACCAGTTCTTTCCAAATTAGAGAAAACTAATTATAGACCTAGACTGCCTATCTTTCCTGGGTCAGCATGGATCTCCAAAATAGGGAGGATTCAAAAGCTGCTACCCTGCTCTGCTCTTCGGAGGTGACAGTGGCAGGCTCTGATGTTCAGCCTCACCCATGTACATATGTATCCTAAAAATACAAAACATGATACTGAGCAGTTCCTTCTACAAAGAACAATTTTTTAGAATGTTTTCTCTTTGTTAGTTCGATGCTGACAACCAAAGTTTTGTTCAACTCCGCACAGGGTTTAGATTTTTAAGGAGGGGGGAAGCCAAAACAGTTTTTACGTATTCTCTCGTTTCCTGAGTCAGCTGCAGTAAGTAGGCCCACCTCCGAAGAAAGTTTGCGCTGGAAGGTTATGCATTAGTTACAACCGAGTTCTCGCCATCAGAATGGTGCGTGTTATTAGCCAGCGTGCCAGCTCTTTGCTTTGACATTCATCTCATCTTTTTGCCACAGACTGTCCAAACATAAGCGGGTGTGTGTGTAATACCTACTTCACAAGGATTCTGCGAAGATGTAGTCATTCTAAAGAGGCATTTGCCCGAGATCAGTGAGCACGGTATTTTAGTTTTATGTTGCCACATAATGGATTAATTAACAGCACCGCAAAGAAAATACTTCCTCAGAGAGGCTGGGCACCTTTTAATTAAAGCTGGACTTTTACCCATTTTTTATTTATTCGAAGGCCACTTTCTGGAGTCCCTCGGCACATGCCCACGCTGTCCAGACACTTGGTGAAACAACAGGAAGGACTTCTCCGTGACAAGTAAGAGATGCGCTAGCAAATTTCCTGCAGCCAGAAACATGACAAAACACTGAGAGGAAGCCCCCCCGCTCCATCTTACGAGGAAGGCACCAGTCTTCATCAACTATGCCCCTTGTATTAAAGCTTTAACAGGGAAACATGGAGTATGAAAAAGTGAGGGAACTGAAGATGCCTGTCTTTAAATCCTGTTTTCCAGTACATCGTTTCTCACCCATTTATTCTGGTCCTTGTTTCTATGTGATTGAACTTTCAGCTGTTTTTTAATGTTTGTCGATAGCGAGATGATCGTCACCGAGACTGAAAGTATTGCACATATTGAGCGCTGATCGAGCGCATTTCACCCTAAAGAAAAGCTGAAACGCTGTGGAAATTTCTACCATTCCAACATAGTGACCGATCCCTCTGGAGGAACCAACTCCTAGGTAAGCAGATCGCTTCACTGCCAGTTCTGTTAGCACCCTTGCTGGAGCCTGTCGCTCCAGTGCGAGTACACGAGCAAGTGCAATGCTATCCACTAGAAAAACAGGATTGGGTATCGACCTGACCAGTGACTTACCGATCACGGTTCTGCATCTCCGCAGTACCAGTCCCTCAAAATTTGAGTCCTCTGAACACTTTAACAGTTGCACTGAATGACATGCTCACATATGAACTGTGCGACATCTTCTGCCACCACTGAGACCCTGAAAGTCAGCTTAATCAATATGTAAAATGAACCTGGCCCAATAACCTCAAAGATCTAGAAGTTTTCCTTCAGCCGAGATGTATATAGAAACTGTATTGCCAGTTTGGCACATTTCTCTTTATTAAGAATAGTCTTGTCAAGCTGAGGATTATTTTTAGTATTATAATGGAGAAAACTCTGGGCTTTTTGCTTTTCCAGATTTTCCCTAGAGACGAGACACAGCTGCTCAATACATTTTAGCGTACAATATATCAGCTACGTTAGAGCTTGAAGCTAAATTTTCAACAGAGCAGAACTGCCTGAAACTGGGGCCTTTAAAAAGCACTTGCGCTTTACAAACCAGAGACGCAGTAGAGTGCTTTTAAAAACAAACCTTACAACATTACTGTGGGCACATTGAAAACATCAGCAGTAGCTAAAGCAACCCTCCCCGCCTTGCCTCAGACTTCAGAAATGAATCTAATCCGGACAAATGAAACTCGTCCAGAGCTCAGAAATACACGTATCTGAGATTTGGGATTGGATTGACAATGAAGTTAAACTGAGGGTTTTTTACTCTGAAGTTTTTTTTATATAGTTCTTCTATATTGTTGTAATTTATTTGTGAGTTTTCTAACCTTTCGGTGGTCCTTGGGCTCTGGTATCATTCTAAGGCATGCGGGGAAGCGCCTATTACGGGGGCCTTCTCTAAGTAAATCTAGTTTCTTCCTAGGTTGTTTTTTCCCCCCCCTTTATTAGAAGAAGAGAAGGAGAGACGCTATATTCTGTTGTTCTATTTCCTCGCTTTTGCCAGAGGCACAGAGCTAGCTATAATTTTTCCACCAGGAAGGAGGAGGTGGATGCATGCACGGTACACGTGTATACGTTCAAGCATTATGCAAACCAGCCCAGGCCACATGCTTTTAAATTGCATCCACGTTCACAACCCTTATTTCACATTCAGACTATTGCCTAATGGGCCACAGGCAGAGTGGACCCCTCGATCAAATAACGAACGAAACTACCGCTGCACTAAAACCCGTCACCGTGTTACACCGCTCCGACCGCCAGCACAGGCTGAACCAAGGTCTCTGGCAGCGAGTGCATGGAGCCCTGCCTCCTTCTGATGTCAGTGTAAAGATCCACCTGATTTTGGTGAGGCGTCGTTCAGCTTTGCATGTCTCCCTTTAGGTGCATTAACACGGTGCCAGAAGAAGAGCAGAGCAGCTTACAAGCCATAGCTTCATCTCTGCATTTCAGGCTCCTATTTATATACAACACAATATATGGGTTTTCATATGCTGCCAAGAAATCAAGTTTGTGGAAAAAAAGGCGCAAGAACTTTTCATCTGCAAGTCAGTTTGAATAACAACTTGTTAAAAAGGAACTTTGAAATGTAAATAGCAGTTTTTGCAACGTCTATTAATAGTTTCAGTAACTCCACTGCTCAGTGGCTCGGTATTACAGGCGTTTGTGTCCAAGCTCGCTCCTTAGCAGGGGAAAAGCCAGTTGTGCTTCCCTGATGCCCCAAACGGCACAGCCCAGACTCCCTCTCCGCTGCGGCACAGGCTGAAATGCTGATCTCATGTTTGGTCTTTTGACAAATTTCCATTTAATGAATTGATTCCTACAGTTCATTAACATACCCACTTCCACTTCTGTATACACATATGTCTTAATTAGCTGCTCATTGGCTGTTTAATTACAAGAAAACAGCTGACAGCTGCCTTGCTGCATCCTAATGGCAGACGTTTTGGAATGACTGTATGCAAGCCTGTGACAACAAAAGCTTATTCATAATCCCATGATTTATGGCTAATACTTAAAGACTTCCACGTATCATTAAGTTTTGCAATATTCTGAGCAATTAACAATTAGTTCGGGGGATGCAATTCTGTTACTGTTTTCTAAAGCAAACGATCACAAATTTTCTTTAAAGAAACATCAGAACAATACACTGCCATATGAAAGACAGGCAAACATTCAAATTCGATTTTTAACCTTTTTATGACAATGAGCACGTATTTTAGTTGTAAAAGGAGGGAAGTGCTGCAACAATATTGTTTGATAAACTTAGTTAATGAAGTATTTGATAACAAATGTGTAGTGCCACTGAAAACAGAGAAAAAATGTTCAGTTTTACATATATAATAGACAGAAGTGAGATTGTATTCTGTCAGATTATACAAGGCTTCTGACCAGCCCTTTCTGTAGCATGGCTCATGTCTCTTCTAACCTGTTTCGCTTGCAATTGGCTGGGCAAAAAATTAAAAAAAACAACTTCAGAAGCACAAATTTGAGGTAAATGTTTGCGACACCAATATGACGCTCCACGTTCAATAGCGTAATGAAAAATTGCATGGATGGTTTTATGAGACCAACTGCGTACATCAAGTAGAGAGAGGGATCACAGTAATGCATTTGTGGGTCAGCTGGGCATGAACTGACGCTACTGACAGCTGAAGCAAGACACAGTTCGTTAACAAAAACTTCACTGCAAACTAAATGCTCTGCTATATCCTTTTGAAGCATTCAGGTATTTTCTGACAATGCTAAACTGGATTCAGCTTTCAGGTATGAGAAAAGAACATGGATGTGTACAAACCAGTTTCCTTTCTCAGCACGGCCCCTAATATAGAGCAAAAAGTTGTTAATGGGTTCCCTCAACTAACAGCTGAGGAAGTGCTCCACACAGATACTTTTTTTTTCAGTAGTGCTACTGCAACAGCAGTACTGCCAATCTTACACAGGAGAATAAACTTATTTCTGAGTCATGGTACAGTCTTTGTGTCATTCTTCATCCATGCTTCTGAGTAGAAGTCTTATATGATTAATCTTATCTTCCCTTTTCCCCCCAAAAAAACCCTCTCTCAAGATTTATTTTATTTATAAGCCACAGGAGCCCTCCTAGATAAAGTATAAAACAGACCATGGCTAAAAACTTATTTTTTTCACTAGGTGGGAAAAACAGGAAAGGGTGTTAGATTTTATTTTGTAAAGGCAGATTCAAGTTCAGCACAATAGGTTGATGAATTGGGAGTACTCAGTGATGTTTGTGCAAAACACAGCCACTGACTTCGTAAAAACAGCCAGTAACATTACAGCAAGGTAGGAAATGAAAAGTTCTCAAGAAACACCAATTGGCTTCTTTACAAATCTTCAATTCTAGTTACATGAAACACAATATAACAACAAAAATCGTTCAGAAAACTTTCAATTACCATGAAATGCAAGGGTCACAAACCTGCAGAAGTGCGACAGCATCAGCTCAATTTGACAACAGCTTGTCTGTGATTTCATACATGATATGAATTAAGATTGCAAAATAGGCCTTTGCAACTAAACCTTCACTTTAAGTTTTAAATGAATTGTATTTCTGGTGTTTATTAGTATTTCCACAGTAACACTTCCGTTAACATTACTATTAAAATTCACACCAAACTGGAGTGAAAACCAGTAAGAGCTGAAAACATCCCACTTTGCTGCTGCTATTGCTGCCTGTAGATCATTCTTGACAGGCCTGGCTTGAGAGGGCAGCCGCACACCTGCTCACTTCTGATGCCGAAGGCCCCGATCCTGCGGTCTGATGCACACGGATGGGTTTGGAGCACCTGTGCAGAACCTCACTGACTTCTCTGGGACTGTCTGTTGGTGCAGGACGTCAGCTCCAGAACTCGGAGCACAGGACTGGGAACTAGATCTTTACAAAGGAAGGTTTAGCACAGCATGAAGAGCAATGTAAGCGTGCTCAAACCTGCAGGTATCATAGCCACAGAAAAGCTGGGGGAAAAAACATACCAATACACACCTGGCTCATTTGGCAGAAGCCAAGCTATGCCAACTTTTTCACCAGCCAAAATAGTTCTGTTGGG